ATTTCAATTCCTGTGTAGATTACGTCATGTTCACCACCCAAAGACTAATTACAATCCATTGCCACACACGTATGCCTAGTCACCCCTTTCACCCTCCTCCCTCCCCCTGTCCCTTCTGGTAACCACCAATTCAATCTCTGTCTCTGTGTGATTGTTTGTTGTTGTTTTTATCCCAGGAGACTTTTTTAAAAAGGCAGCACAACAGTAATTTATTAATGCTCACAACAATCCTATATAGTAGTCACTACTATTATTTGTATTTTAAGATAAGGATACTGGCTGAGAGGGAAAGTCCAAGGTCCTACAGATAGACAGCAATAAGGATGTAGCTTAGAAACACAAGAATGAGTGGGAAAAGTAGGTCATAAAGCACTGCTGCAGCCATGTGCAAGAACCTATGAATCTTAGAACATAATCTTAAGATGAATCTTAGAAACATAACACTGAGTGAAAAAAGCAGGTAGCAGAAAACTATATACACAATATCATTTTTATAAAGTTCACAAACAAAACTAAAAAATATTTTACTTAGAAATACATATATACATGATTAAATTATTTTTTAAAAGCAAGAGAGTAATTGTTAGGTAATTGCTAGTAATTGAATGCCTGTGTCCTGCCCCCAATTCATATGTGGAAACCTAAAGCCCAATGTAATGTTGTTAGGAGGTGGGGCCTTTGTAAGGTGATTAGGTCATGAGGGCAGAACCCTCACGAATGGGATTAGTGCCCTTATGAAGGAAGCCTGACAGAGCTCCCGAGCCCCTTCCACCGTGTGAGGTTACTGTGAAATGATGGCTGTTTATGAACTGCGAAGCCAGCTCTCACCAGACATGGAAGCTGACCATGCCGGCATCCTGAATTTGCACTTCTGACCTCCAGAACTGTGAGAAATAAATTTCTGTTGTTTATAAGCCATCCTGTCTGTGGTATTTTGTTATAGCAGTCTGAACAGACTAAGACAGGAAAATACACAAAATTCAGAATAGTGGTTACATCTCCAGAGGTGGAGTATAAGAACGGGACAGGGAAAAGCACGTGCTGCAAAGGCAAAGGTACCGTTCTAGTTCCTAGATCGGGTGGTAGGTAACAGGTTCTCATTCTATCACTATATTTACACATGTCACTTCTATTTTTTGTATGCATTAAATGCTACACAATAAAATAAAAACAAAATAAATTGCCAAAGGACTAATTTTTAACTGGATTTTTACAATGTATATTTAAAAGCCACTGGTTAATCCTTCTGACTGATGATTGAGTGATATAATCAGCCTCTAGAATTTGACTGCCAAATTTCTGTAGTGAATCTCAAAAGTCCTCCTACATAATGAGTAGAAGACAATGATGGGAGTCATTCCTGGCTTAGGATTTTAAATTCCTGGTCTTGTATGTTCTCTCCAAATGGAAGAGTCCATTCACACAACTCTAGTAAGAGGTGTGCTATTCACTACATTTGTATGGGTGTCTTTAACTTTGTATTCCAGATGGTAAAGGAAAATTTGTACATGGGAAAATATGTTTATAGGGTAACTATATTGGAAAACACTAGTTTCATTTTGTGTTTGATGTCATATAATTAAGTTGGTAACAAATGAAAAAAAAAGATGTCTTTTTTTTGGTAGTAGAATTATAAAATAAATTCACTTTCTCCTATCAAAACTTTTATGAACTGATTTGCTAAATTTTAAAGTAAATAAATACACCTGGGTTTCTATTATAGCACGAGAGATTTACTTGATAAACTCTATATGGATGTATTGGTACTGGACTAAATTTACATATTAGTAATGTTCTAATTGCTTTTTTTAGCCAAGTTTATGAAAATATGTTTACTGCTATTTAAACATTTTTCAGAATGTTTGGAAAGTGCCAAAGTCAAATCACTAATTAACAATTAGAAGCAAAATCAAAATTGTTTGATGTTTTCATATTACATCTTAAGGGAAAGAACACTTTGAAATGATATCTTATTTTTTCAATCCTTATAATAAACTGCAAATCACTAGACCAATGTAAAATTATTTCTCCAATTCTCTATATTTCCCACATACCTTAACAGTTTGTAATTATCATTAAGACATCTTTGAGTTGGATAAGTTACCTGGCACCTACACTGAGTTTTACTTGTTTTGTGAGGGTCTGTATGTTTAATGCAATAATAGAGATCTACACTACCGTCCCCTAATCAAAGTCTATAAACTTGACCTTCTCTCAAGAATTTCCCCCTTAATCTCAACATCTCATACTCTTAGTATGAGAGAGTGTTTACTGGACGTAATACACGCAACTTTCCCTTTATGAAAAATGCAGCTTAATTTGTTTTCATAGAAGTAAACCAGCTTAGTGGTTTACCAGGTTTAATGTATTTTGAATTGGAAGATGTGATTTAAAAGATTTCTGTATAATTTTTCATTCCTTCGATTAGTAATATAATCTGAAATTAACACTATAATTTCCTGGAAAAGTAAAAAGGATTTTCTCATAAGAAATTAAGATAAGCTTTCCAAATGCATCTCTATTGAATCCGTATTTACTAATATGCCAGGTCTCAAACTCTCCTTTGACATTTTTTTTAGTTTTTAAAAGTTATAGTGATTAGTTTAAATATATCTATGAACATAGACTGACATTTGCAAGACATTTGTCCAGAGGTCTTTATGATTCCCCAAATTGAAAACAAACAAACAACAACAAGAACAAAAATAAAACTCTATAGCATAAAACTTGGTCTGCGGAGAGAAAAATCAAATTGTGCAGAGAGAAGCAGAGTACAAGAGGGCCACAATCTTGAGCGTTCCTCTGTATCCGATGCTACTTATTTCCTGAAACCTGGCTACCTCCTAGCCTGAGATAACCCTTTACCCACATAATAAATTCACTCTTTAGCTTTAAGCTACTTCATGTTGGTTTCTGTTACCTTTATCAAGAGTCCTAATATACATATGTATGCTGAACTATCTGGAAATATGTATAATTCATTCCATTGCATGGACCCAGTGATTCACAGCTAATCTTTTTGATATCTTACTTTTGTTAAAGTAATCCTTTTGTTAAAGAGCCGTACCTGAACCAAGTGGATTCAATCTGACATTTGCAAACAAGATCTCAAGGCTCAATGAACATACCAAGTAAGAGCATCCCTTCCAGAAAGCTGCCCCTTATTCTTTGGGTGGTCCAGAGGTTACACTGTGTAACTAGATTGAGGCGATAAATGAAAAGAGTAACAGGATTTCAATATACCAGTTCTCTGCAATATAGGTTCTATCTCATTCTTGGAAGCCTAATACTGAAACCAGATGCTTAGCTTTTTGACTTCCTTCTCTCTCTCTCTTTTTTCTTTTTAAAGATTTTATTTTTTTCCTTTTTCTCCCCAAAGCCCCCCAGTACATAGTTGTATATTCTTTGTTGTGGGTCCTTCTAGTTGTGGCATATGGGACACTCCCTCAGCGTGGTCTGATGAACAGTGCCATGTCCGCGCCCAGGATTCGAACCAATGAAACACTGGGCCGCCTGCAGCGGAGCGCGCAAACTTAACCACTCGGCCACGGGGTCAGCCCCCTCTCTCTCTCTTTTTTTTTTTTTAAACATGACATTTTCTTCTTTAAAGATTTTATTTTTCCTTTTTCTCCCCAAAGCCCCCAGTACATAAGAAAAATGTACATAATCAGTTAACGTTATCAGAAAGTGATTATTAGTTTTGCTGAAAACATAATGTCTTTGAGGCTTTGAATGAAAGTACTAATTTAAACCATTCCCGGAATGAATAAATATTCAAAAAGAGTAGTACATAAACTTTGCTTGCCTCAGGTTAACATGAGTATTTATGACCCTATCATGTGTGTTCTTTGGAATTTTTCTCTTTCATCTGAAAAGTGATTCTTTCACCTGGATATCCTTTCGGAATCAAATTTAGATACAAAGCAGTGACAGCTTGGATCTTGCCCTATGTATAATAAATCAATTGATGCAACTCCTTTACATTAAAAACAGCTCACTAATAGCTAGGTGGGGTGCTTTAAATTAACGTGATATACAAGAGTCCAGGCAAGCTGTAAATCTATAGATTACAGTCTCACCATATCTAATTCTATGTTTTGTAAGAGCCTCTTAAAGAGTGTACATTTTGTAATTAATATTTTAGCAACATCAGGATTAAAATTACACAGTGTGTCAAAACACTCTGTAAACTCCTGAGAGTAGGGACTATGTCCTTCCCACCTTTTTAACTCCAGCACTTGACCGTGGGGCTGAATTGGAGAGTCATTTCGTAGTCTGTGGAGTTGGATTAATAACAGTAATGGGAGAGCTGGTCCAGAAGAGAAGAGATGAAACAATACGGAAAGAATGTGGTACTGGACAGCAAATGACCAGAAGCCAAGGTTAAGGAAAACATGGAAAAGACATGAGGGCAAGTATGAACAAAATTTTGTTCACCCTGAAATACAGTTATATCTAGGATATAGAAACTGGCAAATTTCTTGAGCCCCACTCTTTTGGAGGCTATATGGATTTCAGGATTAGATTGGATCTACTCAGTAAATCAGAATGGCAGTGAGGAGAGATAGAAGAGAACACATTGCTACTAATTAAAGATCCATGATTTAGCTGCTTGAGGTGAAGTGAGTATGTATGTATCAACCACAAATTCAGGTGTGCAGAAAATGCTAGTTTATTATCCTATAATACTTATTTTCTGCTATAAGCTTCCATTCCATCAGGTGTATCAATCAGGATGCAGTAAGAAAACAGAAACCACTGTAGGTGTTTCAGGCAGGAGGGAATTTAATATGGGGAATAAGATGCTTATAACTCTCTGGAAAGGCCTGGGGGAGCAAAAATCAGGGAAAACCACCAACAACCTGAGGAAATAAGGAATTTGCAGAAATCTTAAAAGCCATTGCAGCTGCCTGCATGGCCAAGGCAGAGAGAATTCAGGAGAACACCCAGAAGCCACTGCAAAACTTCATTTTGTTATCTGCTAAGGCAGGCCGACATACCTTTGATATTGGAGAAACAATAATGGCTTCTGCTTCTCTTCTATCTCCCAAATTTCACTTGAATGCCTCTCATTGACTGAATCCAAACAAGGCTGTTAAAACAGAAGTTTGGCAAAAGTAGTTGCTAGGCTTCCTGCTCCTGCAATACTGGGAAGGGCTTACAAGAATAGGAAAGGTTTTGAGTACCAATAGACAATATCTGGCATATGGTGGAGAGTTAATCTCAGCTGATTCAAGGATCCCCTTCTCCAGGGGAAAAGTAACTCCTAATTAGTAACTCCTTCTCCAGGGTTACTAATTAGTTTTGGGTGTTTTACATCCTGTCAAGGCATTGGAGTAGTGTGTTGAAGCTGCTTTTACAGGGCCTGAAGTTTATTCAGTTGGGAGGGAGGTTCATTAAGAAAAAGGATACAAAAAATAAATTAGGTGCAAATGTGAATTTTTCTTTAGAATGAGAAATCACAACCAACAAATTATTAATGTTAAAAAGCTGACAAATACACAAATGTAACAAATCCCAGAAAAAGAAAATGGCATCTTTCTTAATTAACTATCCAACATGTTTTTACAGCTTCATAATTCAATATTGGTAATGTCTTATAAATTTCTAGAATTGTCAAATTTGAGAAAATTTCTACCAAGTTTCTTTCATATAGTAGCTATTAGATTTCAAACTGAAAATTTGAAATATTAATTTCAAATAATCTTTGTTTTTTGGCATAATTTTTAAAATTTTTTCTAGCATTATTGAGGTATGATTTACAAATAAAAACTGTATATATATTAGGTTGTGAAATGTGATTTTTTTAAAGGTATACAATGTGATGATTTTTAAATATTTGTATACATTATAAAATGATTACCACAATTAAGTTAATTAACACATCCATCACTTCAAATAATTACCTTTTTTTATGGTAGGAATACTTAGAATCTACTCTCTTAGCAAATTTCAAGTATACAATATAATATTATTAGCTATAGCCACCATGCTGTACATTAGATCCCCAGAATTAATTCATCTTAAAACAAAGTTTGTACCCTTTGACCAACATCTTCCCATTTTCCCTATTCCCCAGCCTCTGGAAATGCTGTTCTACTTTCTGGTTCTACGAGTTTAACTTTTTTTAGATGGCACAGAGTGAGATCATATTTGTCTTTCTCTGTCTGACTTATTTCACTTAGCATAATGTCCTCCAAGTTAATCCCTGTTGCCACAAATGGCAATATTTCCTTCTTTTTCAAGGCTAGAAATACTGCATTGTATATATATGTATACCACATTTGTTTTATCCATTCATCCATCAATGGACACTTAGGTTCTTTCCATATCTTAGCTCCTGTGAATATGCTGCAATGAAGATTGGAGTGCAAATATCTCTTTGAGATACTAATATATCCTTTGGATATATCCCCAGAAGTGGGATTGTTGGATCATATAGGAACTGTCATACTGTTTTCTATAATGGCTGTACCAATTTATATTCACACTAACAGTGTACAAGGGTACCCTTTATTCCACATCCTCACCAACACTTGTTATCTCTTGTCTCTTGGACAATAGCCATTCTAACAGGTGTGAGGTGATATCTCATTGTGGTTTTGATTTGTATTTCCCTGATGATGAGTGATGTTGGACATCTTTTCATGCACCTGTTGGTCAACTATATGTCTTCTTTGGAAAAATATCTATTCAGGTCCTTTGCTCATTTTTTTAATTGGGTTATTTGTGAGTTTTTTTGCCACTGAGTTGTATGAGATCCTTACTTATTTTAGATATTAACCCTTTATCAGACATATGGTTTGCAAATATTTTCTCCCATTCCATAGGTTGCCTTTTCATTTTGATGATTATTTCCTTTGCTGTACAGAAGCTTTTTAATTTGATGTAGTCTTATTTGTTTATTTGCTTTTCTCACCTGTGCTTTTGGTGCCATATCCAAAAAAAAAAAAAAACTCATTGCCAAGACCAATGTCAGGGAGCTTTTTCTCTATGTTTTCTTTTAGGAGTTTTATGGTTTCAGGTTTTACATTTAAGTCGTTAATACTTTTCAAGTTAATTTTTTTTGTATTGTGTAAGATAAACGTCAAATATCATTCTTTTGCATGTAGATATCCAGTATTCCCACCGCCATTTACTGACGAGATTATCCTTTCTCCCATTGTGTATTCTTGGCACTCTTTTCAAAGATTAATTGACCCTATATATATGGGTATATTTCTGGGCTCTTGATTCTGTTCCATTGGTCTATGTGTCTGTTTTCATGCCTGTACCATACTGTTTTGATTACTGTAGCTTTGTAATATAGTTTGAAATCAGGAAATGTGATGCCTCCCACTTTGTTCTTTTTTCTCAGTATTGCTTTGGCTATTCGAGGTCTTTTGTGGTTCTGTACAAATTTTAAGATTTTTTTTCTATTTCTGTAAAAAATTCCATTACAATTTTGATAGGAATTGCACTGAGTCTGTAGATCACTTTGGGTAGTATGGCTATTTTAACAATATTAATTCTTCTGATCCATGAACACGGGATATTTTTTCATTTATTTGTGTCTTCTTCAATTTCTTTCCTCAACGTCTTACAGTTTTCAGAATACAGATTTTTCACCTCCTTGATTACATTCATTCCTAAGTATTTTATTCTTTCTGATGTTATTGTAAATAGGATTTTTTTCTGCTAATTCATTGTTAATGTATAGAGACACAACTGGTTTTTATATTAATTTTGTATCTTGTAACTTTGTTTATGAGTTCTCACAGTTTTTTGGTGGAATCTTTCAGGTTTTCTACATCATGTCATATCATCTGAAAACAGAGACAATTTTACTTCTTCCTTTCCGATTTGGATACCTTTTAGTTCCTTTTCTTGCCTAATTGCTCTGGCTAGGACTTCCACTACATGTTGAATAGAAGAGATCAGAGTGGGCAACCTTGTCTTGTTTCTGATCTTAGAGGAAAGCTTTCAGCTTTTCACTGTTGAGTATAATGTTAGCTGTGAACTGGTCATATACGATCTTTATTATGTTGAGGTACATTCCTTCTATCCTTAATTTGTTGAGAGTTTTTATCATGAAAAGATGTTAAATTTTGTCAAATGCTTTTTCTTTATTTATGGATATGATCATATGATTTTTAGTCTTCATTCCAGTAACGTGGTGAATTATATTTATTGATTTGTCTATGTTGAACAATCTTTGCATCTCAGGGATAAATCCCACTTGATCATGGTATAAGATCCTTTTAATATGTTGTTGAATGGGTACGGCAGGGAAATTAGGAGAGAAGTAGAAACTCTAGACTGAGGGAGAGAGCAAGTGTTTTCCTCGCTCTTCCTTCAGAGGCTATTTCCCAGAGCAGATTCTACGTTATGAGGTCCGGGTGTCCACCTACGCTCTGCAGGAAAATTTTGTCATCCTGCCATGTCTTTTAGTCCCATTTTTTTTCACAGGTCTCCTGTTTCTCTTAAGACTCAACTTCCCCTTGCCAAAAACTCTATTCTTCTTACCCATAAGACTCCTATCCCTTTTGCTCAGCCTTCAAGATCCAACTCAAAAGACATGTCCTCCTCAAAACTTTTACAGTCCCCTCTCCCTACCTCACCTTACCTTCACCATTCTTTCAGTTGAACTATCTCCCTCTCTTGAATATCTGGAACACATCATTTACTTTTCTTTTATAGCCCTGATCACCTTGAACCTTGTGACATACTTTAAGCTTATACCTTATCTCCCTTGATAGAGGTTGGCAACCATCAGCACTCTGTGGGCAGGGTCCATGTCTAGTTTAAGTCTGTGTTTCCCACGGCCCCCAGTACAGTGCCTTTGACATAGCAGGTTCTCATTAATGTTCATTGAATTAACCACTTGGCCCTTGCTACACCACAATTGCCATTCCCCTGAAGCTTGGGGTCCTGTATGTTCTCACTGTAGCTCCCTTGCCTACTTGGGAAATTCCCTCTGTCTCTTTCCTTCCTTTCTCTGTTCTTTCCCTCCACAACGATTCTCATCTCTCGCCCTTGCTGCCCTGCACCATCTCCTAGTTAAACCCAGACAATGCTCCTTTAGAGAGATGCCCTTTTGGCAGCTGCTGATCTCCCTTTCTACCTCCTGCTCTTCCTGATGTTTATACCCTTAGCTCTACTGATATGGACTGCCCTGGAGGCTCGCTCAAATGAGATTTCACCTGTGCAAAAATGATATGCGGGAAGGCCTCAAAGTATAACTTGCTCTCAGTCTCACCCAGCCCTAGGGAGAGCTCTTCTTGGAACTGAACTCAACATTAATAACATGGTGAAAAGGGGAGACAAGAGAGGCACCTGCCTTATAATCATGATGCATTAGCCTTTTTATGTGAGTTGTTTTTCTTGTGGGAGGCAAGACCTAACTTGTTCTAAATATAAACCCACACAATAAGCCAGATTCTACTGTAACATTTACCCATTTGCGGATCTGAAAATACCAAACTTGAAGGAAGAAAATATGCCTGTGCAGACTGGATTCTATCAGCTTGAATTTTTCTAGCCAATGCCTAAAACACACACACACACACACACACACACACACACACAGCTTTTTAGAGAAATTTTTCTCACCATGCCTCTGTGCTGTAATTAAAGGGGAGGTGTATCTGCCACATTCTACCAGTGAGACTCTCAGGCTTAGAGAGGTCTGTTGATGGGTTCCAGGGCCTACAGCAAGAAATTGAATCTGGCTGGAAGATCTCTTTGCACAGTAAATGAACTTTCTTTGAACTCTCATCTCTCACTTTCTTATGCATGACACCTTTCTTTGAACTCTCATCTCCAAATTTTTTATACATGACACCTAAGTTTCCATTTTTTTCCCTTCCTAGGAAGAAAATTTTCGTTAGACAATGAGATGGATGGTGAGCAATTATGTTGAAAATCAACACAACTATAGCAGACACTACCAGTTGCCTACCCCACATATGTTCTCTCCTTCTTCCTTACTAACAGAATTTCTGTATTATTGAGGGCATCAATGTATACAGCTAAAAGACTAGTTTCCCTAAAAACCATATAGCCTCATGACTAAATTATGAACAATTAGATAAAAGCAGAAATGTTATAAGGGACTTGGGGACAGACTCTTTAGAGATGAATTTAATCAGCTGGAAGGTACAGTCTTTTGCTCTTTTTCCTTTTTCTTGTCTGGAATGTGGATGTGATGGCTAGATTTCCAATAGACATCTTGGACCATCACTAGCTATGCACTGGAATGGTTGATCTGTAAGATAAAAGGAACTGGGTATCTGATAACTGTGGAGCGGCCAAATCAGCCCTAAATATCTCTTTCTAAACCTGTCACATAAAAGAGAAATAAACTACCTTATTTAAGCCATTATCTTGAATTTCAATTATATATAGCTGAATCTAATCATAACTGACAAAATAAACAATCCTAGTAACAAATTTTATTGAGTTCTAAATGGACAAATTAGGATTTACTTAAATATCTTTCTTCCTCTCAAATACATTATTAAATGACTGCAAGCCAATCTATTTTAATTTTTAAATAATATCCTTTACCTTTGAGGATGTAGTGACTGTAAAGAGAAACAAAGAAGGCGCTGGGATGCTGATAAAGTTTGTTTCT